GTCATCTCAAATCGTGAACGTGTAAATGGAGGGGCAACGGACTATGGCGGGGGTGACTTGTTAGTGCCCTAGATAACCAAGGCAGCTACCCGGCTAGGCTTAGACAATCACTAGCGCGACACTTGTCAGGCAGTAGATTCGCCGTGTCTAGATAGCGTATACCCAACGTAGTTAGCGGCTGGACAAATATGAGCCAACTTAGGTGTTTATTCGTAGATACAGTGCATATGGGTACAAATTGCTCTTCGTATTTCACCACGTTACGTCCAGTCTGGAATGTGCGGGATGACGGATGACGCGACTGATGACATGCCTAGATAGATCCATAATGATGCTAATGATGCTTTAGGATGTTCAGAATTATCCCCTCACCACAGCCACTATTATGCCGAGGTTCCAGGAAGTTGGAAGCTCTTGTCATGTTGAGAAAAGTGGTCGGCACCATTGTCCGCGAATATGGTATTAATTATGATATATGTCGCTCCCATGGGTGTTTCGCCATCGTTTTGCTTCTTTTAGCCAGAGCTTTTCGAGATTTCGCGGGGCCATTTTTTTCCGTTGAACCATGGCGTCTCACTCTCGACACGATACCTAACTGAAGGGGGACTGCAGTCCTTACGCCAATATCGTCACTTCTTCATACGCATTGGCCAGAACCACACGGGACGTAAGTGTTTCAACATACTTACACTACCCATCGCCAAGGAGCTTCATGAGTCATAGTTGAGTCCGGCTAACCAAGCCAGTTCAGATCTCATACGGCATCCCGCCGTCCATGCTGAATCCGGAAAGCCGGATTTTGCCGGGCTTACGTCTTTCAGAAGTCGAAGCTCCAAGTTCAACTGCACCAGCCGGAACAGTTGCTTCTAGCGAAATGCCGATTATCTGCTATCTATCAGCTGCCCACTGTAATAGAGCAGGCCTGTAGCCGCGCCATCTACACCAAGGCCTGTCTCATTGCCACGGAGATCGCGTATTCCACGCTGGTCCTTAAAAGGCATATATTGCCTTATGCGAGCCCTATCGGAACCAGGCATCGAGCTCTGGGATCCCGTCGTCCCGGTCCCCTCCACGCCTGCAGTTAACTGCAGGAGACCCGGCAGAAACCCGAACCCTGCCCCTTACCTGCGCCGCCGTCGTAAGGCCAAGTGTACCGGCCCATCATGAGACTCCAGGTAGCGATGAAGGGGCTTCACTAGTCCAGACTCCCAGTAACCCACAAGAAATGATACCAAAGATATGTGCTATCAACGTATGTTCCAACATACATAATTACGCGTACCGACCACTACCTACTGTTGATTGTACGATGTCGACAGCATGCGGTGAAAGGAAAGCACCGGAAGCAATCCGCCGATGCGGGAGGATTCTACGGTGCAGATCGACGCCGGGAATTCCGGGGAAGATCGTTGGAAAACACGAGCTTAGTCTAACGACGAGCGGATGAGAAAGCAAAAGCAACTTATGATGCCAAAGACGTCAGCAGGTGCTTTGTCCGCAGGCCTACGACAAATCCCAAAAACACCAAGCATGGTATACACACCCGTTTCGTTGGGGAGTTTTTCCACATACACATTCATAGGTCGAGTGTGCTTTTTCATGCACCCTGTAGTCCGATTGCCCATAATACACGCTCATCGTTCTCGAATTTCAATAAAGCTATACTCAGTCAAGCTCGTCGTATTATCTTATTCATTACCATCACGTTTTCCCCCTCGCTCAAGGCCTGTAAATGAAACGACATTGAGTTGCTTCGAGTTTTCCTGATAGCCATTCGATTTATCATTAACTTGGTAAGCTATCGCCACGATCTCGAACTCATTCTAGATAGGCAATATATCAATTCGGTTCGATGCGGTAGAATGACCGCATGATTGATCCATAGACACTAGATACATAACCGTCATCGTCGACCGACGTGCGCCCCCGAATTATGAAAACCACATGAAATAGAGTCCGATGAGAACATACATGAGGCTTCACTATCAAAGGGATAGTGTAGAGCTTCATAGCATAAGGCGGAATACAGGCGGATTCGTCAGGAGATGTACATATTGTTTCGACGTGTAGTTATGTGACAAATCGAGAAGACCTCGGAAAACAGCAGCCACCAGATCATTAATCACGATAGAATTTGCAAATCACTCGCACCAAGCAGATTCACAAGTCAAGACCATAGTCAGGCAGTTGGCAAAAATGATGTAAAATTCAACACCAAATGCAAGTGCTAAACGACACACAACACGGCTTTTAATCCTCCAAATGCTTTCAAAAAAACAAAACAATATCTCCTCGGACTACTCAACGCGGGAGTAGTCCTCCCTCCTCCTCCTCATCCTCCTAAAGCAATAACAATTCCAACTCGCTAGCTCGCAACCACTTCGCCCTATCCTCCAAAAATGCAAACATCCCTCAACTTCGCCTCCCAATCCCAGCTATGCGACCCATTGATCCTCCACTTCTTGAAACTTCAGCGCTCGGATGATTGGCGGCATATATGCAGGGCCAATTTAGCCAGAAGCAGGAGCGCCGATGCCGCAGTAGATGCTGCCGACGACGACGGTGTTGGTCGACAGGTAAGAGGGGTGGCCGACGCTGAAGGCGATGCCGTGGTTGCCGGTACCGTCGACAGACGTGTAGGGAGTGCAGTAGACGTTGTCGGTGGAAGAGCCGAGCAGGCTCAGCGTAGAAACGGCGGCGAGGGCCGTGGGGTTGGTGTAGAGAGTGCCAACAGGGACACTGATAGTGACGCTGGTGATGTCGTTGCCGCCGCCGCCGTGGGAGGTCTCAACGACAATTTGGACGGAAGAAGGGGCCTGGCCGGTGGGGATGGCGAAGGCAGTGGCGGCGGAGCCAATGAGAGCGAGGACGGATGAGGCACGCATCTTGATGGTTGGTTTTGGGGTGATTGAAAGTTGATTCTTGGTGAAGATGGTGCGAAGATGTTTGGCAGCGTGAAGCTTGCGTTGTGTGTTTGTTTGTGTTTGTGTGGTGAGCTAGTGATGGTGTTGGATGATGAGGAATTCCGAGTCGAGTTGAGGGGAATCTCCGAGGTCTTTATATTCTTGTTCAACACCTCCATATCGTGACTCATTATGATTCATACTTTGATACAGTCTGTACTTTACACCGTCCTTGACCACGAATACTCGTCAGTAATTGCGCTAGCAGTCCAAACACGAGAAGATATCATATCAACTATGTGATAGCTTGGTTCTCAGGGGCTAAGGGTTAACAGTGAGAAGCACCGCCGATCTTACCCCGTTGTATGGCGTCCGTGTCCGTGCGACGGACCCGAGATCATCACGGGCTGCTGTCTGAGCGGCGGGGCGGCCCGTGCTGAGAGAATGGTTCCGTGGCCAGTCCTTTTGCCTTTTATCTTTTGCCTTTACCTTTTACGTGTAAGTCGATACCAACGGTAAGTATTCCGTATCCCCGGCCGTCGGTATGTCCTGATGACGAGCAGTAAGACTAACGACTTCGTTCTTAATGTAGATATTGCACTGCACCGGCACCCAACCATGATGGCTAAGTAGATTCCAATGAGCGGCTCCATTTCGTGTTTGGATTCCGTGTATGTAGGCCTATTCCTCTCAGCTTAATCTCAGTCAGATCATGATCCGGTCTTATCTAGTCAACGGCCCGATTTGCTGTGAATTGACCATTTCCTTCCTATATAACATGTCCCAACTCTAGTCTAGTTAGTGTACAGACCGTACTATGTAGGCATTTCAATATTCGATCGCCAACTCTGTTCGGCCATCCCGGTACAGTCTACGCGAACACTGACCACTACGCGTACCGACGGCGCTGAAGCTCCTACCACCACGTTACCAGTGCTTCCACTAGTAAATTTGGACGAGCAGGGTTGAAACACGTTAGATAGCTAGATATACAGTCCGTATAATAGGTCATTATTGACATCTGCGGTCATGTAGTCCTGCGTCGCCTACGGACTGCAGACTAGTTATGTATCTAGGAGTTCGTTATGATCGTCACTCGAAGGGGTTGTAATTACTTACTAGACTAGGTACCTAGTAGTTATTCGTACGTTCTGTAGGTTGGCACATCAGTCAATTGTACACCGCCCTGATGAGTAGTTAATACATAATTCATAACTCAGATCGGCACTGCCTAGGAGCATCGTCGCCTACCTGGATAAGAGGCAGACATGCCGATTTGAGAGTCCGCCAAAGCATCCTGTCGCTCAACGCCGCAATCTTTTTGTCAACAGTTTCAAGAGCGCCAACAAGACCGCGAACGCTCCGTGCCCAACGAGAGCGTGCGTAGTAACTATTATCATGCGGTTTCTTTCAGATTGGTGTCGAGGACTATCTCAAGGAAATGTCATAAGCTAGCATCGCTAGGAGTATGAAGCTCGATCCTCGCCGTGTTATCGGCCTACATCCCATTCAAGGCGATCGCCAGAGTGTGCTGGTCCATGACAAGTTTGACCGCCTATCTAGGCGCTTGGGAATGTGTCTCCTCCAGTCCTTGGTCAGGGCCGCAGGCTTTCGACTCTGGATGACGGAGTTGTAGACGACGAACACTCTCAGAAGATCTTCGCACGGTCGGTCGTGTTGGTAAGAAAATAGCGAGTTCTCGGAGCTTGAAAAGCAAGTCACCGCCAGGTAAGCTGACCTCTTCGTATCTTCGCCGTCCTCCGAACGTCATTATAAATTATCTTGCGAGATGAACTTTCTCCACGGCTTCGCTGTCTACGCTTTGTTTTTTGTTTTTTTTTATGCGGCCCACCGCTTTTAGGATTATGCCTGAATTTGGCAAACCGCCTGCCCAGCAAAAAGAGCTTGCGCCGTTATTGTCGGGGAGCCAGTCTGTGATAATGGACACACGAAGTCATCAAATGGGCAACGCAGAGAAAAAAGGGAACAAAGGAAAAAAAGATTGTAAGGTTGGTTCCCCAGAGAACTGGAGAGCATCAGGAATTGAGCCCGATGCGGGGGTCGAACCTATTCGAATTTTATTAGTATTTTTGAAGCGACGCGGTTTGGTGTTGAACATGCAACTTACCCGCAACCTTGAGATTAAGAGTCTCACGCTCTACCGATTGAGCTAACCGGGCTGATGGAGGATAAGCTACGATCATTGCGCCATACATTCTGCGTGGTTGATCCACAAGATCCACATCGTGTATTCCTTTGCGTTGTGAAGGATCGCGTCGGGAGTTTGCCAATCGGACACACGAATCACGATGCCAACGCTGGCATTGCATTTCCCGAGGCAGCTGACGGGTTTTACCAAATGAGTTGAGCCTGTTCTCCGACTTCTCCTCAAGGGCTCTTAGAACACAATCGTTATGAATAAATCGAGCAGACACGAATCATCTGTTATATATCTCAGCCCCACGAGCTAAGCATGCTCTCGCAAAGTCGAGGGATTGGGTTGGATCATATTGAGAGGTGGCCGCAACCCATCTGGCGAACACGGGAGGGATTCCTTTCATCGGGAAGTCCAAGTGTTTTTCGACCATCAGTTTCTGATAACAAGGGCCACATAACGATAAGCCGGATTGGTTCCCTTCGGACAGATACGGCGATGAGTAGAGAAACGAGCTAGCAGCGCTGTTTGAGGTCGTGCTCTTGCCTTGTCGTCCGAAGTTCTTCGTCAAATTGCAAGTGCATTTTCAATGAATTCTTCACAGGCTATGAATGAGTGATTTGCTAGGTAGTGTATCTAGCGACGACAGAACTTTCTTGCTTTTGGCGGTGGTGTGATTCGCAATGGTGTCAAGTAGGTATATTCTCTATGAACTTCAATTCGACTCGAACTTCGCAATGACTTCTTGCAATGTTGTCCGATCATGGACCTCGAACCTCCGCCCCCGTAGAAGGATACCCGCTCCGCACATATCATTGATATCTGCAACATATTTACTGAATATTCACGCAGATATGTATATATCGCTCTTATATATATATCGGAGACTTAGCTTTATCGCGCCGAAGCTTTGCCGAGCTGAGGATACTTAGGTACTTCCTTATCGGGGAAAGTGGGTAATCCAAAGAGCTACAGTTAGAGCTTTGGATCCAAATTTTTCTTGACGCTTCACGTTCTCAACTTCCCGTTGGATCAGCGACGGATCGATCTCACCGTGTTCTGGGTTCCCTATTAACTTGGTCTAGTCGGGATATCTTGCGAAGACAATTGACACTCCAATTGCGCCCTTTTCGACCGCAAAACCTCTCAGATACACGCACAACCTCGACTTTCGCACACGCTCATCGCCGCCGCGATTGACCCCGATTGCCCATCATGCCGCACCTCGATTTTATTCTACACGAGGTCAGCAGTTCTGGTGTCTTCGATTACGGACGTACCTCGCCCCGAGTAATTAAGTGCTGATCTTCGAATTAGTCTGCGACCGGTTACGCCCTCTTCAAGGTAGTCCACCAACAGGATGAGATCGCATTACGGACGGAGGAGGTGAAGAAGGCCGCGGACGATCTGTCCAAGCTCGGCAAGATGATTAGCCTCACATCTTACGCTGTTTGGAGGTCCGCCGCCGAAGCCCTCGAGAACATCCACTCTATCAGCGAAGGCCTAATGACCGACTACCTGAAATCCACCATCGAGCTGAACATACCCACGTCGAAGAAGAGCAAGATCGTCCTTGGTGTCGCCGATAAGAATCTTGCCGGTAACATCAAAGCCGCCTTTCCAGGGATTGAGGCCGAAACGAGCGACACGTCCGAGGCTGTCGCATACTTACTGCGCGGTATTCGCCTACACTCGTCCAAGCTATTCAAGGATTTGAACGAAGGCGATGAAGAAAAGGCCCAGCTGGGTCTTGGCCATGCTTGTAAGGCTTATTTACGCCTTATTCTCATGAGTCGCAATAGGCTGACTTAGCCCATATAGACTCTCGCAGTAAAGTCAAGTTCAACGTTCACCGCAACGATAACCATAGTAGGTTTTCCCTTGGTCACCCGTTTCGGCCTTCCCACCACGAGGTGTTAGTCACTCTGTGTTCTCCAACAGCGGGATAGCGTGATACGCCTTGACAGAAGAAATACTGACGAATTGTACTAGTCATTCGCTCCATTGCTACGTATGTCAAATTCCGATGATGAGCTCTAACTAGACCATTATTAACATTGATTTCAAAGCTTGGATAATCTCGACAAGGTAAGGATTCGCCGACTATCAGTCTTTTCCCCCTCGTTACCCACTTGTACTGCCATATATATGAGTGCGAACTTCCAAGCATATATCAGTTACTAACTCCTACTTCAGGGTATCAACCTCTTTTCTCAAAAACTGTGAGTACAATGAACGGCCAGCTCCTTTCCACTATGGGCCACCTTCAGAACAAATATTTTGGGCTTTGGCTCAGCACTCTTCGATTCAAATTTCGTGCAAGTTGATCATGTCTAACTTTGTGCGAAGACGAGAATGGTACAGCTGGCACTTCCCCGAGTTGGTAAGTAGAACTTGATTTCCCTGCCTTAAAGCAATTGTTGACCCTTGCGGGTGTAGTATGCCATCTGCTCCGACAACCTTAACTATGCTAAGGTAGCGCGCTACGTGGGAGACAAGAGCACATTGTCAGATGAAAAGCTCCACGAGCTAGCTGGACTCCTGGGCGATGACGAAGAGAAGGCCACCGAGATCATTGCCAAGGCGAGAATGTCAATGGGCAGAGAACTGAGCTCTATTGATCTTGAGAATGTCCTTACGTTCGCTGAGAAGGTGCAAAACTTGGCAGGTAAGATTGGCATTCACGTCATCATATTTGCAAATACTAACTAGACTCGCTCACAGAATACAGGAGAACTCTGTACTCCTACCTAACTGAAAAGATGAGCACCGTCGCACCGAATCTTGCTACATTGAGTCAGTCCTCTTCATCGACATCTCTATTTGAGCCCGTTTGCGTTCTTCGCACTCCCGAGAAGCTATCACAGGCCTTCATTACCAGTAGTTGTTACTGACCATTGTCCTTCAATAGTTGGTGATGTCGTGGCTGCCCGTCTGATCCAGAAAGCCGGTTCATTGACGAACTTGTCGAAATACCCTGCTTCAACGCTTCAGATCCTCGGTGCAGAGAAGGCCCTATTCAGGGCCCTGAAGACTAAGAGGTTAGTATTCACCCTGTGCCAGAGTTGAATGGGAACTGTTCTGCTATTAATACCATACTATGAGGCTTGGCCGCTTGTCACCATTCAACCACCCGTGGCTAATCTATAAATCTTTCTAGCAATACACCCAAGTACGGTCTCATTTTCCACAGCAGTTTCATCGGCAGAGCATCGCAAAAGGACAAGGGCCGTGTGAGCAGATATCTTGCAAACAAATGCAGTATTGCGTGAGTATTTCCCTGATATCCCGCGTCCTTTGTTCTTATATGGTTCCCATTTGTAAGGGCTGCTGTTAACTAGCCATTCAAGTGCGCGTATCGACAACTTCTCCGAGCAGCCTTCTCGGAAGTTCGGTGAAGTCCTCCGCGGCCAGGTCGAAGACAGACTCGAGTTCTATGCTACAGGCAAGAAGCCAACAAAGAACGCGGACGCTATGGTGAGTCTACCATATTCTTTCTTGTCTTGTGTTTTTACTTTGCTAATACTCCAATAGGACAAGGCTGTAGCGGACATGTTAGCCGAGGGTGAGACCATGGCCATCGATACTGACATGATCGACGCTCCCCTACCATCCAGCACACAGACACCGAAGAAGGAGAAGAAGTCCAAGGACAAGAAGGAGAAGAAAGAAAAGGAAGAGAAGAAGGACAAGAAGGACAAGAAGCGCAAACAGAGCGAGGCTGAGGACGCTGAAGTCGACGGAGAAAAGAAGAAGAAAAAGAAGAAGAAGACCTCGCAGGCGTAATGATTTCGAGACAAAGTTTGCAAAGCCCCCTGAAAACAACGACGGAGAAAATCCGTCAAGGCGGAGAAAAGATGATATACGTCTCACGCTAATGGGTATATTTGGCGTTTTTATCTGGGCTCTGGGCGTGGTGTTGTTTTTTTCTTCTGGTGTTTTCTTCTTCTCTCTCTCTCTCTCTCTCTCTCTCTCTCTATCGTCGTGTATGTTTGTGTACATATTGGGATCGCACCCATACCCTTCTGATTTTTACTCTTCCACTTCTTGACTCTGTGTCATTCTGCTTGATACCCTCTTGTGATGTGCGACGTGACATAGTCTTCTGCCTATGCGAATCCCGCGGGTCTAAAGCACGACACGGCATACAACCACCCCACGAAGAAGGGAAACAAAATAGACTAGGGATTCAAGCAACGTGATAAAAAATCTCGAATCTCATGAGCATAACAGTACGTACGTACGTAGTCTGGTCCATTCATCCGTACATCCATTTCATAAGGTACGCAGGTCGATTAATTTAAAAAGAGGCAAAGTGAAGCCACCTAGCAGCCACTGATCCCCTTTCCGCCCCCACCAGATAGCTCAAAAAAAAAAAAGAGAGGGACGCCCTGAACGCCTCTGTATAAATGCCGGTTGTTTCTTTCTTTCTTTCGTTCTTTCTCTTGAAGTCCCTTCTCACTCGTTCTATGTGCTTACACAGGCCCGTTTCCTTACGCATCATCGCAATTCATTCATCGTCTGACCCCAGTGCAATCCAGTCCATTTCCATTTCATCGATCTCTTAACAAACCCTATCACCAAAAAAACAAATGGACGATGAAAAAAAAAAAAAAGAAGAATAATGTACTCTTAATTCCCTTCACTACCAAACTCTTTCGTCCATTCCGCGTTCCGTGTCAAGTCTGCTTCGGCAACGGTAGGTCGTGAAGAATGGATGGCCTTGATGAAGTCCTTCAGGTCGACTAGGGGCTCAAGAAGAGTTTCGGCATCTATGTCGTCCCAGGTCAATTCCTTCGCGCCAGGGTCTCCTGGTGAGCACGGCGTTACTTTATTTACGCCGTCTACTGTTACCTGTTGTTGTTGCGATGGTTTGTCAGTTTACTGCTCAATTTATGTCGGGGAGATAGAACAAGCCTCTTACCTCTTTGAAATGCGTTGCTTGTTGGATTTTCCGTACAGGCTGCATCAGGGCATCTTGCACGACAATACTGATATCACTGCCGGAGTAGCCTTCGGTAAGCT